AAGCGCTGTGTGGGCCTTTCAGTACTACACAGTAGGGGTCACAGTGAAATAGAAACACGATGTTTGCACCATGCAAATTAAATGACGGTACAGCTAAGCCCCATATTGGTTCCCCTGAAAATAATCTAGGAATTGGAAATCAGGATGTCCACTCAGTTTCAAATGGATTCTATTTCCTGTTTTTCCCAAAACAGATACCATTTGTTAAGATTTTGTCATACTAGATTTCAAGGTTACTCTTTTTCCTGCTATAATCCAACTAAAGTAGTGTTCCCACCTCCAGGAGGTAGCCCTTTGGGGATAATCTGGTTTTTAATGGTTCTCTAAAGAGTGCAGCAGGTGTGCATTTTTTTCCTCCTACTTACATAAAAAGAAGGTACATTCATAATGAATTCTCTAGAAAGTGAATGCTTCCCCTTGAGAAACTGGGAGGCCTATGATTCAAATCAGTCAGCTTGGCACAGTTGGCAGGCCCAGGTAGATGCAGGGAGGGAGAAAAAAAGACTCCTGGCACGGGTCCCTCTGTGGTGGGCATTTCTGTCACATGGGTGCCCCTCACCAGCCAGTCCTCATCTCCTGTAAAGACACTCTCCTCTCTCTTACATCTCCTTCCTTTCCGTCCTGCTCCCCACCCACTGTTGGGTCTAGGTCTTCATGCAAAGCATCATCAGAGATGCAATTCCTATTCCAGATGACCTAAAACCTACCATACGTCCACTACCTGCCTCTAACTCTTGCTCCCTCAGTGATTCTGAGGAATAGGCTTTTCTCATTCCTGGACTTGCTTCCTGCAGTTGCATTTTTTTTTTCTTTATGTCCAAGGGGAAAATGTGCTAGTATTGTGGCCTCAGAGAAAAGGCATAAGTTTTTCCTAGAAGCCAGGATTCTGTCCCGTGGAATGCCTGGGGTATACAGAATCTCTGAGGGGCTGGAAAAAATCCCTCTGGGGGGGGGCTTAACAGAGGAGAAAGTAACAGGGAAAGATGTTTTGACTTTCTGAGTCATAGGTACAACCACTAGGAGTATAGAAATCCAGAAGAAATTATATTAATCCATTTAATTACATCAGAATGATTTCTTCTCTGCTATTATATATTTTCTTTTTCACAAATACTTCAGGATAGAACAAGACAGAGCTATTCAATCTGATAGAAGCATTTTTCTAAAATGGTCAGAAATCTATTTACTGTTATTTAGAATTATTAAAGGCCTGCAGTTTAATTAATGTTTGTCGATTTAAAGATACAAATATTCTACCACTGTCTGTCTGTCTGTCTGTCTGTCTGTCTGTCTCTCTCTCTCTCTCTCTCTCTCTCTCTCTCTTGCTGCAGAAAGGGCATATTCCTTATGGATTGCACATCGTAAGATGAAACTTTTTTATCATATCAATTAAAAAGCATTAACAGAAAAATAAGCACTGTAATATTTTAAACATAAATATTTTCCTAATTAATCTTAAGATATTGAACAAACAGGAGAGGACATATCTATTCACATGCTACTGTGTGTATGATTTGGGAGCTTTATATTAGAGTGGGTTAATATTAATTATGCTAGGGCTGGCAAGATAGCTCAGCAGACTAGGTACTTGCTTAACAAAGCACAGGGACCAGGTTTGATTTCCAGCCCGGCCACCAGGTGTGCTGAGCCGGAACAGAGTCCAGTTATGGTGGTGCATGCCTGTAATCTCAGCAATGGGGATGCTGAAAACAAGAGGATCACTATGAGTCTAAGCTGCAGAGTGAGACCCTGTACCAAATACATAAAAAATAAAACTCTATATGCTTTAAAATGTGTTAGTGGGGCTGGTGAGATGGCTCAGTGGTCTAAAGCACCTACTTAGAACAAGCTTGGCAAAGCATCAGGGACCACGGTTCAATCCCCCAGCACCACATGCCAGCCAGCCCTGCCCCCTGGTGGGCTGAGCTGGCCACACACACACACACACACACACACACACACACGCAAATAAATGAATTTTTTTAAAAAAGAAATGTTCCTAATCTTATAAAAAATGTATTAGTTATATTTCAAATTCACTAAGTAGCCTGGATGATCCCTAGATCATCTTCCAGTACCAGCAAGTCACACTACCAAGGTCTACCCCAGTGGAGGCAAGATTAGGCTCCCTATGCTCTAGCCACTCTGGCATTTATAGTATGCTGCTGGGACTTGGAGGAAGTAAGGAGCCTCCTCCATACTTCTTTTTTTACCCCCTCTACACTTCTTTATAGACAAAGAATGTTCAACCCCAAATAGAGCTGGGAGTATGGGAAATATCCAGTGTTCTCTGCCCACTGATATACCAACTCCACCACTTGCTGGAGGACAATGAGCAAATAATTGCACTACTCCAAAGCTTAGTTTTTCCACACACAAAATGGTAATAGCTTTGCTCCTCTTTTCTGATTGTTTGGGAATGTAAGATAGCTACCATGAATCTACCATGGTGCTTGGCCAAGAACAAACTCAATAAATGCCAAGAGTTCTGATTATTATTATTGTTAATCTCCCCCAGAACAGTTCAGCAACCTGAAAACAAATAAACAAACAGGCAAAAATCTCAGAGTGGATTTGAAGTCTTCCCTTAAGTTCCCAAGGGACCTGTTCTAACCTGTTTCTACATGAAACAGGTCAGGGGTGAGGACACAAATTCAGATGAAAAGAACCCAGTAAAGACCAAGCCTTGGGGTGTCACATAGGAAATCATGTGGGATGAGAGTCTTATGTCTGGGATCCTTCCTTATGTATGCAGGTAATTGAAAAGCAAAAATCTCTCACCAGTCATACCTGGCCTGTGAGTATGTGGTGTTTGTGCTCACAAACTGGGCTAAGAACCTGAGCCTCAGGAGTCCCCACTAGGGCTCCTTGGGTTTCTAGAGCTAGCCTCAGTCACACAGAGAGCTAGCTGTTCCAGAGGTGCTTGTGTTGTCCCTGAATGGTAGAGACTTTCATCAGGATTCTTCCCAGGGGCACTTAGGACTTGATATCTCTGGTAGAAAGATCTAACCAAGAACCCACCCAAGGGACTGTCCAAATTCTGCTTTCTTCCAGCTGGTAGAAAAGAGCAAGAGACATCTACAGGGTAGTGTAGAGAAAATGGTGCTCCTAAAAGCCTGTGAGAAGTCTGGACAGGGAAGAGCTGATTGTTGTGTGTGGCTCCAGATTTGCACAACTTCCAAATACTTTCCCCATGGAGCCAAAAAGAACCAGGAACCTGATTCAGCCAGATACTACTTGGAAAGAGGCATGCATGTCCTCATAGAGAAACATTCCATGAGGTGCTTCCAGGTAATGCATCCTAGTGCCCCTTCAAAGGAAAAGAGGGCTATGGGAGCTAAGGATAGGAGGCTGTGCTTTCTTTGCAAGGGTAGAGTAGGCTTTCTCGCACAAGCTGCCTTGTACTCTAAATGGCCAGGGTGCCAAGAAAGAGAGATCCTCCTCTTCTTCCTGAATCTGCCAAAGCATCTGAAACAACTAGAGGCATCTACCTAGAGGCTAGAAGGTGGGTAAATCTGCCTTTCTCCGGGGCCCCAGGGCTGGGAGCTAGCTCACCCCTCATCTGATGCCCACACCCCGCCCCTCGGTTTCCCGCATCCCCTCCAACTCCGAGCTTCTCATCCTCCCTGCAGAGCACAGGGCTCCCTTGCTCCGCCCAGGTGCGATTCTTGGAGCTATGAGGAGAAAGTGGCTCCCACTGCAGCCTCTCTAGCTGTGCTTTCCTGCAACTGGTTGGGACCCCTGCCTACTTGCTGTGCACCAGGTACTCCCTGGGGCCCACCCTGCACACTGCTCTCCCCCTCCAGTGCAGGCTTCTGCTTCCCATCCTGACTGTGGGGCTTTGGAGACACGCAGGAGTTGGCAGGGAAGGTGGGTGTGGGTCTACCAATCCGGCTGCCAAAATGAAAGCATATGAAATTAGGCGAGTGCAGGGGAGGGAAAGAAGAGAGGGCACAGACCGATAAAAGCAGGAAAAGCATTTCTAGTTCATGATCTGACCATTCGGTTACCACAGCCCAAGATGCCAACGCATTCAGATTATTTTGTTCCCGAGGAGGGAGATCACTGTACCCCAGGCACCCGGCAGTCTGCCTTTCCAAATTGCCCAAGGCCCCGAGAATTCAGGGCCCCACTGCACCTCTGCGCCTCTCCAGGTGTGCAGCCCCTCCCCCACCTGTATTTACACACTCGGCCAGCTCCCTCCGGATTTCATCCTCTTTTCCTCCTCGGATGGCCTCTCAGGGCTGGTCTCCCGCCTGCAACTGTAGTCTCTCCGTCCCTCTCACCGGTGGGCAAATCTGCATTCTGCCCTCATCTTTCTCCTGCACTCCCAGGCTGTCGTTCGTTCCCAATCACTTTCTCCTCCACCCAGCTCGGCGCTTGCAGTTCTCCAGGCGGACAACAGAAAGCCACGCCAAGCATTTGATTACCGAGCTGGGCATGGCTTACGCCCGGGTGGACTGACCCCTACCACCCTGGACGGAGCTCTGGGATGGCGACAGATATCCCTCACGTCCCACCTTTGCTGTCACCTTCTCTGCTTTTACCCAGCTTCTACCGGCAGGCTGAGCGCTGCTGGGTCCCAAAACCTCGCCCGTGCTGAGGAGCCACGGGGAGCGAAAACTCGACTGGCGAGAACGTACAGAAAGAAATGGGCAGATGTAGATGCCAGGGGGCTGGGGGAAGGGCGCACGCGAGAACTAAACCTGCTACTTGCGGGGCACAGGGTGAGCACCGCGCGGGGAGGGCAGGTGGTCACAAAAGTTTGCAGACTATTTATTGCATAGCACCCAGCTGGGCAGGAAGGAGCAAAGAGGGTCTAGTCCCCATCTCCAGGCGGGGTCTCCCCAAGGGCCAGTGCCAGGGAGCTCAGGAGGTTTGGAGAGACATACCTCAGAACTAGGGTGATAGTTCTCTACTTGTTCCGGAAGGGACCGCCTAAGCCCCCGAGCAGAGACGATCCCGCGCTCTGCGAAAAGCAACAGGCGGCTGCACCTTACCTTGCGCCAGTCCCGGGTAGGGATGGCTGTTCCATCCTCGTGGCGCAGGGAGGAGGCGTTTGGTGCGTGGATGCCTAGAAGTGTGCGCTTTGCCAGGGCTGCAGCGCCAGCCACCTCCCACCCGCGGCAGGCTGGGCTGCCCGCCCCGGACAGCGCTGGCCCTCTGGGCTCGGCTAGCGGGCAATCGCGATGATCCGGAGCGGTGGTTGGGAGCGGGACGCAGGCGATGCGTGGCGCGACTGGCGTCTTTGGGCGCCGCCACGGAGCGAGGGTGCGGCCGGGGTGGCTGTGTGGGGCACGGCTTGGCTCTTACTGCTGCGGCGGCTGCTGCAGACCCTGCGCCGGGCTCGGAGGCTCGCAGGAGGAGGGGGAGGAGGAGGAGACAAAGACGCGAGGGAGGCAAAAAGCCACTCGCCCAAATGCAGTGGACTGGGTCACTAGAGGGGAATCGCCTCTAAATTTGGGCTGGGGAGGAGGGAGGAGGGGTGAGGCTGCCGAGGACTGGAAAAGCTGCAAGGGATGAGCGTGACTGTGGAGCGCTGCTAAGCCTGGCCAGCTCAGCTCCCCGTTGCCTTCTAGTAGGGGTCCTGAGGGGAGAGGGGTGGAGTTGAGCGATAGCTGCTAGAGGAGACGAGGCAAAGTGGGAACAGTAGCTCCTTCCCTGCTCTGGCCTTCTTTCCTTGCCTCTTTTTCCACAGCTATACTTGCAGGATGCTATGGCTGCATTCTTTCTCCTGAACAGAGACAGAGATAGACAGAGAGAGACTCCCTATGTAGCCCAGGGGGTGGTCTTGACCTCACTGTGTAGCCACAGGATGGCCTGGAACTCATGAACTCATCATGGTGATGCTTTTACCCCAGGCTCTGTAGTGCTGGGATTACTGGCATGTGCCACCACCTATGAATTTTCTCCTGCTTCTTGCCTCCCAAGATCAATGGTGAATTAAACTGACAGAAAAACAAACAAACACCTGAGTGTGGTGATGGCTCTCTTGCCTTTAATGAGGAAAAAGCAGGCATTTATAATCAGTTCAACAAATGATCACACACTGGGTGCCAAGCACTGTGGTAGGCTATGGGGGTGGCGGCTTGTAAGGTGGGACACACATGCCCAGGCTCCACTGCCGGAGGGAGGGATGAGTTTCCCGACCAACTCAAGATGCTGCAAGTGAAGGTGCTGCATTGCTGCTCCTAATGCCAGGCAGTCCTCAACCAGTTTAGCTTTCCCTAACAGGAGGTGCTAGGATCCAGTTCTCTCTTGCCTTCTAGGGATGGCTTTGAATGTGCAGAAGTGGAGTGTATATGTTCCTTAAAAAGGAAGGGTGTGTGTGTGTGTGTGTG